GAATCCCCTCCCCTAGGCTACATCGACGAAGACGGCGGCTACATCGACTACATCGACTACATCGACGACGGCGGCGGCTACATCAACTACATCGACTACATCAACGACGACGGCGGCTACATCGACTACATCGACGACGGCGGCGGCTACATCGACAACGACCACCGCTGCATCATCAACACCATCCGCCCCTAGGTACTTCTCCATCTCCCTTCCTCTGCTGGATCCATCTCCCCTCTGGTTCGGTGAATCTTCTAGGGTTAGGATCTTCTAGGGTTAGGATCTCCGTCTCGTTCATGGGGTTAGGGTTAGGGTTCATGGGGTCAGGGTTAGGTTTCATGGGGTTCGTGGGGATGATCTCCCTCTGGTTCATGGCTAGAACATGATGGGGTTAGGGTTCTTGGTGCACGCCCATCCTGATTGTTCAAGTAGAAGACTTCTTTTATGTTGTGCCCATGGGGTTTGTAGCAGTGTTCTTCTTTTATGATATGTGCATGAAGCTTGTGTTCTTCTTCTAAATTGCCTGCATAAGCATGATTTCAAGGCCTACTATTATTGTTAACACTGCTTGCTTCTTTATTCATCAACTGTTGGGCAATCAGTTGCTCTGAATGCATAAGCTTGCCTCCATTAGGGAAAACAATTGAGTAATTCATTTGCTTATAGATGATTGCAGGTACATGGATAAAATTGCAAGTTAAAACATAAAAGTAATTGTTGTAAATAGTTGTTTTTGCTAATCCACATTACTGAAGTATAATTCGTGTGCACTGTATTTGTATCCAACTATATATAATTGTAATACATGTGAGTTTTGTTCTTGTCTCTGGTACCACAACCTTAATTCACTTAGCTTGATGTAGTTTGCTTCACATATACTACTGCTAATGCATTGCTTCACATATATAGTTTGCTTCAATTCAGTTGCTTGCTAGCATACATATGGTTAGGGTTTGCATCAGCAGTACTACTAGCACTTTGCTTGCTTGTTGTGTACTTTATATGAGGCACTAGGAAGATTTCTTGATGTACATTACTACCTCCTGCTTGATGTAGTGAAGATATTAAGAGATGCTTCATATCTTTCCAGTGTACATGCATGCTTGTTTAGTGCACTTACATGTTTGCTTAATTAATAACACTAGATCACTGTATTGTTGATCCATCAAGTTTGTTTCACATGTATTACATGTATGTGCATGATGGTCCAAATGCTTTCCTTTATTGATACAAGTGCATCATTTTACTTTATCCCCGTTGTATCTGATTGTTGTTTATTCTATTTTGCAAGCACCACCTCAAGATCATCCATGGAAAGGATGACAAGGTCAAACGTGAGGCCAACCGTTGGTATGCAACTTGCTCCTTATGGTTATACTGTTAGTTTCATAAAATATGTGTCTTAATATGCTAATTAAAATGTATTGCTGCAATCTGAATAAGCTGGCTTAATTGTGCCTGTGTGCTGTTAGTCTTCCTTACCTGAATAACTAGGATTAAATGATAATAAAATTTCATAAGATATGTATTCCAAACATTCATGCATTCCAAACATTCCAAACATTCACCTAATAGTTACGTTTCCTTTATCATGCAAAGAAGAGCCTCTCACCGAGTACGAGAAGGTTAGGGCTAGAAATATCATGAGGAACAATCGGCTGTTCCAGACCCTTGGCATCGGTGCAATAGCGTCGATGATTAGGAAAACAAATGATGTACGAGAAGGTAGAAGTGATGAGGTTCAAGAAGGTAGTGGAGTTATCAATGATGACCCAGAGTACAATCCTAAGGAGGATGAAGTTATTGATGGAGAGGAAGTGGATGATGTTGTAGTGAGAAAGACTGCTAAGGTGCAAACTTTGTCTTGCTTGGAGGGCTGGGGTTCTTTTATGCTATGTTATTCCTTGTGCTCACATATTTCTCTTGTGATCTAATGCTTTTTTCCGTGCTGTTTATACGAGGCACTAAAGGAATCTAGGACGAAGAGGCCTGGTGTTAAGAAGATAGTCAGCAAGAAGAAGAGCTCAGAAACATCTGCTGCAATGCCTCCAGGAAGGGTGATGGCCCCAGCTCCAGGACAAAAAAAGAGGATCCTGGAACCTGATGAACCTGCCCTTGATAGAGTCACAAGGCAGAAAGCAAAGATGGCGACTGCGACGGACCATTAGGAAAGTATGCTGCGCATGGACTCTGAGACCTTGGTGCAAATGGGTGATGAGTTGCCGCCCATGGATGAAGGAACCACTCTCAGCATGGATGGAAGTGGCACTGTCTCCCTAGATGAAGGAGGAACCATCTGCATTGATGAAGCAGGCACTGTCCACACAGAGCTCAGCCCTGTTGCACCTTCTATTGACAGGAATGCTGTCATCAATGAAGAAGAACAGTAGCTTGTGCTTCAATCAGGCAAGTTGACCTTTGCAATGCTATCTTTTACTAGTGCATTTTCCAAATGGAATGATCATGTATGCTTTTGTCGATTCCTGCATTTGTCGATTTCTATTCTAATTTATGTGTTCAATTTCATTTTCAGATGCAATGACTACCAAGACTAGACATAGAAAGGGCAAAGGGCTAGAGAGGATCACCAAGTCGCTTTTTAGCAAGGTGCATATCCAAATTGCTGAAGGGTTGAAGCGTCCAGAGAAGCCTCTGCAGTCAGCAAAGCTTGCTTCTGAGTGTGGACTCGTTGCAAGAAGACATCTTCCGGTTCTTCCTCACTTCAAGCTATACAAAAAAATGCTAGTCTATTGGAGAACTACATTGGGAAAGTTGCTGTAAGCTACTTGTTTCATAGTTAATGTGCTATCTATTTTCTGTTACACCTATGCATGATCACTAATATTGTTCCTACCTTGTTTGCTGTCTTGGTAGGAAAATTTTGAGATGAACACGGACTCAGAGACCATCAAGACCGCGTGCAAAGATATTCTGCAGAAAAGTTCAAAGAACAGACGCCATCAGCTCAAGAAGAAGTATTTTGATACCGTAGCCGCAAATAAAGTTAGCATCAAGTCTCCGGTACCTGATGTGACGGATGGTGAATGGCAAGCTCTAGTGGAGATGTGGTCTACCCCAAGACACAAGGTTTGTCTCTGCTTTATTTGATGCTTTATGTTCTACACATGATATGCTAGTGCTAGATCATGCTGACAGTATGCTTTTTTGTAGGAAACCTGTGTGTCGAACAAGATGAATCGAGAAAAAGTCGTGTACAATCAGAGAACTAGTTCCAGGCACTACACAGCACACATTTTTGCCACTGTGAGAACTTTTCTCTAGAGACCTTACCGTTTGACCCTCATTGAATAACATTTCTGATTCTTGCTGAATAACATTTTGATTTTTGTTGAAAAACATTTCATAAAGAAGAGCATAAGGGTGAGGAGCTGTCTGCGATTGACTTGTTTAAGGCCACCCACAACAGCAAGAAGCACGGGTTTTCGGAGCCAGTCAAGACTGCTATAGTAAGTCACTCCATGCTTTGTCCATGCCCTGTTTGATTCACAACCAGCTTTGATGTTGTTTGATGCTTTGATGATTTGATGTTGTTTGATTCGGAGCCACTTCCATGCTTTGATGTTGTTTGATAGTTCCATGCTTATAGTTCTATGCTTATAGTTCCATGATAGTTCCATGCTGTTTGATTCACACACGCTGTGTTCCATGCTTTGATGCTATTTGTTGCATTTTTTATGACATGATGAAATTTGATCTGAATGTTAGTCAGGAAGCCATCTTAAATAGAACCACCATTCTAGGCTTAATGAAGCGATCATATTGTTCCAATTGCATGTCTCCACGTCACTAGTCATCATCTTGTACAGATTTTGTGTGTTGGTTTGGTTACTTCAAATAATCCATTTGTGTGCTGGTTTGGTTTCTCCACTAATGCCTATCATTTTCCTCCATATGCTAGCTTGAGATGGAAGAAATGAAGGACGCGCCGGTACCAGAAGGTGAAGAGCCAAAGTCTACTGTTCGAATTGTCGAAGAAGTGCTGTTGAAATCTGTCAAGCAAAGCACATTCCTCACGAATGTTGGGCTCCAGTCATCTAGGAACAACTCCCGCAAAGCAACTGCCGAAGTGTTTGCTCATGTTCGTGACCTTGAGCAGAAGCTGGAGAGGTCCGAGCTTCAAGCTGAACTGGTGCAAGAAGAATTGACGGCAATCAAGATGAAGGCGGAAGAATCTGAAGCTGCACGCAACAAGGAACTTGAGATGCTGCGCAAGAAGTCTCAAGAACAGGAAGAGAAGTTAGCCCACTTGATGGCTCTCTTTGGAGCTAAGGCAGTTTGATGGTTGTGCAGTTTGAGTAGGTAGTTGCATTGCTACCTAGTTTGATGGCTGTGAACCTCTTGTGCAGTTTGTCTTTGAGCATTTTGTTGCATTGCTGCCTGTGAAGTTATGTGATCTTATGAACCTGTGAAGTTATGTGAACCTGTGAAGTTATGATCTTGTGAACCTGTGTTTATTTTCTGTGAAGTTATGTGGATCACTTGTGCACCTGGGCCTTGCTGTTTGAACCTGGGCTTGTGGATCACTTGTGCACCTGGGCCTTTTTGTTTATAGTTATGCAAAATGAGAACTTGGGCTCTAAAAAGGACAAGGCCCAAACAAGAATTAGACCAAAAAGGCTATGGCCTAAAAAAAGATATGACTGTAAGAAAAAAAATTATAGAAGGCTGCATAGCAGAAAATAAAAAGGCCAAGGCCCAAATTCGAACTAGACCAAAAAGGCTGTGGCCCAAAACAATAGTGGACTATAAAAAAATCATCAGAAAAAGGTTCCATTCCCAGAAAATAAAAGGCCAAATTACTGGGCCAGGCCCATACACATAAGCAAAATAAAGAGGAAAAAATCAATTAAACGGGCCGAATTATTGGGCTTGGCCCATGTAGACAGCTGAAATGGACCGGGCTGATTCTATTTTACAACCTTTTCATTTGGTCGTAATTCTGCCATGTCAGCTTGCCACGGTGGATCTGACATGGTGTGGTCGGATTGCTAGTGACCAAAATAATTGGTCGTAAAATCTATGACCTTTTTTGGTCATAAACGTCTACGACCATTCTAGAAGAAAGGTCGCTATAGTCAATTAACGACCCCCAGCTTTTGACCTTATGTTTTTGGTCACAAAAAGGTCATAAATTGAAAACTATGACCTTTCAGTGACCAATAGTGGAGGTCACTAGTTGACATATTTCTTGTAGTGTTTCCTACGTGCTTAATACGTTTCCATGTTCTCATTTATCATAACTAGCATGGTAGGGTTGTATTCTAACGCCATGCTTGATCTTTAGGTCACTTGTTATCAACTAGGTTATCTCATAGTTACATGTTGCATTTTATTAGTTGCATATTTTGGTATCTCGTGTGACGATCATCCATGCTTAGCATCATATCTGGCCTATTTTACTGTTTCATTTGTGGTATGCCTAAGTCTAGACATCAAGTCATGCTAGTGATCTTTCATGGGTTATTATGTTTCATGTGTTATAGTTGTACTTGTGTTGCTCTTATATGATTAACGTGTCTCATGTTACTATTATGAGTGTTGTATATGTGTTGCAATAGTTCATCGCATGCTTAGACTAGTTTATCTTTCATGTTCGTTGAGTTGTGTTTGTGCTGATATTATAACTGCTAGTGGTTATTGGTATTAGTCATTCTTTAGTAATAAGACCATATCCTAGGTTTAGTACATTATCATGATCATTCGTGTGTGTGATGCATGTGTTATTCGTTGAGAGCTCTAGTGATGATATGCTCACATGCCTCGTGTGAAGATGTGTCTTGATTTATTTGTTTATTTAGTTTTGACCATAGTATTGGATTGGCTCTTTGCTATAAAAATACTTCTTTATAGTTTTATGATTGAGGTTTACACTTAGCTTACTGTTGACCATTGTAAATATTTGGATTCATTCGAATATTTATTTGTGGTTGATCATTACTCTTAATCATATCATGTCTAGGATAGTCTTTCATCCATTTATTCCATGGGTTGTATTGTTTGTTGTTAATTGTTAGACAAACGAATTGATTTGATGTAGTGGATTTGGTCCTATTTTATTTTGATTGTGTTTTAGGGCTATACCTAGATCATTCAATTCATGTTGTTGAATGATGTTTGATTGCTTAACTAGTATGGTCTATAATGTTGGTTTGGTCGTATTGTGCAACACTTGCTTTTTAGTTATTATATAGTTGATGTATATGCTTGGTTGCAACTGACCATTATAAATATTTAGATTCTATCGATCTAAACATTTATCGTGGTTAACTTTCACCTTTATCATGTCATGTTGAGTTTGTGTAGTTAAAATGCATAGGATGGTTCCATTCCATGAGTCCTGATGTCAATGTGTTTGTTATATGGTAGTTTCTACATGGTTAGTCGAGATGTGTGGTGGGCACTACTAGTTCATAATAGAACTTTAGTCTTGATTGCAAAGCCTTCCTCAATCGTGTCAACTTAACCTTGTCCCTTCGTTGAATCATATCTCTTACCTTCCTATCATGCTACCTTGTTCTGGAATATCCATCTCGATCAATATCTTATCCATCCACTTAATTTGGTTTTGATTTGGATTTACTATTGCTTTGGTATTTATTTGTTTGTTTTTGCTATTGTTACGACGAGTAGGGAGTGACGACGATGTTGGACAAGGACAGAATCAGGTTACTGAAGAAGGACTCAACAACGAAGGCATGCCTCCTTCTTGATCATACTTATCCTATGGTTTACAAAATTGCATTGAGTTTTTATTGTTACTATATGCATGCTATTTTAATTCTCATAGCTAGCGTGTCGATTGACACATTACCCTGATCCACTTGTCGCCTATTTACTTGACACCTGAGTAGAAGTACATAATTCCTGTAGAGTAGAAATGCTTAGCCATGCTTATCACCCTATAGGTGCTTTGTTGAATGACCTCTGAGTCATTGACAGTTGAAACGTACCCTGAGCTAGGCCGGTTGGCCTTGTTGATCTCCTCTACTCTCTTCTACTCTGGGTGAAACTTACCATCTGAATACTGGTGCGGGCGACAGCTGAATCAAGGATTGAAGGAGCGATTGGCCGCCCTTCACGAGTTGAAGGGGGCAATCAGTCGTCCGTGCCGCATGAGGCCTAATAAGTCTTGGATTTGAAGATTGTGATAACAGTACAACCGCATGCTATATGGGCACTGGCTTGGTTAATTAGTTAGTTCACTCTTATTGTCGTCATCGTCGTACCGCATATGGGATAGCTGCCTTGCGAGGACTATCCTTGGCACAAAAGGGGGGCTCGGACTGTGAACTGCAGTTACTTCCGTGTTGAAACCTAGTTGGCTTGGCACAGTAAGTTTGGTCTAATGAAAGATCTCGTCACAATCTCCCTGCCGGTATACCAAATGGTGTACTATGCTAGTGACGGCTAGTGGCAACAAGTCGGGATTGTGTCGTGTGGGTAAATTGTACAACCTCTGCAGAGTGTAGAACTATTCGAATAGCCGTGTCCACGGTCATGGGAAACACATGAATCTTTCTTGATGTACGGGACCTGTCTTGCTTATTCCCTCTTTGCCCCTATTCTTGGAACCTATGAAGAGTGTGAGTTGATCGAGGATCCTCACTTGAAGAAAGATATTATTCTGGAGATAAAACATGTTTTCATCTAAAACTGCTATTTTCAACTACTTTATTTGTCAAACAAAATTAGCTTTATGCAAATGAGCCATACAGCCTTCCTTTGAAGCCACATGTAGCTATTTGGTCCTTCCCCGTGGGAGGCATGTTGAGTACGTAATGTACTCATGGCAATACTTTTGTTGAACAACAGAGTTCCATGAAGACGAAGGTGATGACTATGACAACTATGGCGATCCGTAGGAGTGAGGTCACGTGGACTACATCGACTGCCTGTGGCTGAGATGGAGTCGCTACGCATTGTACTTTCCGCTGGTTTCTGATTGTAATAAATGTCATGAGACATTTCTCTATGTATGCCTTGTGGCAAGATATATTTAAACTTGTAATACCTTTTACACATTGTGCGATGATATCATTTCGCTGTGTTGTCAACAATGATCCTGGGGTTGACAAATATACACAAGAGGGTCTGGAAGTTAATTCCAGGTTCTCAAAGAAGTGGTATCAGAGCCGATGTCGACCTAGTCGTGTGGATTTAGTTAGAAATGGAAAGCCTTAGGGACTATTGTTCTAAGAAAAACTATTTTGAAAAGGATCATTCTCCTACTCTTCTCCTTCACTATTGCTATTATCATCTCATCTTATTCAATTGAAATTTAAACTCTACTTCTCTACCATCTTCTTTGTAGTATGTGAAAGCCTTTTTCTTGCCCTTGGTGTTGAAAAGTAAGAAGCTTCACACAATGTGCCGAGAATTTCAAGATAACTTCAACCCCTGGAGCTTTGAGTAGCAACATTTTTCCAAGAGAAGACACTTCGAGACATCAAGAAAGCAACAACCATCCATCATGATCCAATCGTCAACGTCGAAGATTAGCCCCAAGATTTATTGTGACCAGCCATATAGGATTAGGTTGGTTAACACCCTTGTAGTGATAGAACTCGTAGCTTGGAGACGCAAAACCTTTCTTGTGTGAGTATTGTCTGCATATTTTTGGTGTTTTCCTATGCAGTCATACAAAATCCAATTTGCCAAAATGAGTTGCTTTTGAGTTTTATTTGGATAGCTTCATGGTTATCTCGGTGTTATCTTTTATTTGGATAACTTCTTGGGTATCTCCGCATTGTGTAGGATCTTTTTTACTCCTCTTATGCTCTTTCCTCTTCTCGATAAACCTCGAAGGACATTTTGAGAGGAAATAAGTTGCAACATCATGCGTAGAGGTCTACTATAAATGTGAACCCCATGGAAAACATCTTTTATGGGGGGTAGTAGACGGTGATATGTGGAGAGATCAAAGATTTGAAGACCTTCATTTGTAAATAAGACAAAGATTTGGAGACCTTCACTGCACCTACCATAAAGTTCAACCTGAAGGAAGGATCAATGAGTCTAGCCATACGAAAGCTTGACGTAAAGAAGAAGGGAAAGACAGAAGAATTTGAACCACCCAAAGAAGCTATCATATTACCATCGCCAAGACCGAAGGACTGCTTCCAAGCTTTCAACAAGCTGGAGACAGTATCAATAATCGAATTATCTCCAACCAAGACCCCGAAGTTGCTTGCCACCAGGATCAAAATCAATTGTGATTCCATAAGTTACTGAGAAGAACTATGTCGAGGGCAAAGCTAACCCAAACCCATTCTCTATAGT